GGGCAGAGGCGTGCTGAGGGCCAGGGTTTGGGGGTGGGATGGCAGGGGTAGGGGAAGGGTTGGGCTGGGGGAGCTTAAAGGGCTTTCCCAACCTAAACGAGTCTATGATTTCAGTGCAAGCTTACCTCGGTGTGACATTAATGTGAAACCAGAAGTGGTCCTGAATGCAGAGAGCTTAGATATCGGGTTGTAGGAAGGACCCTTTCCTATGTGATGTAGGGGCCCAACTTGAGGGCACTGTTTCTGCTTTTGCTGTTTTCCCTCTCCTACACGTAGGCACACGGTGCTTTTACTGGGCACAACTCCATCCGCATCCATCGGCCCGTTAAAAACCCAGGCGAATGCCAGCTTAGGGGCTCTCGGGGGCACACGCTGTGCGGGGGAGGCAGGAACGGCGAGGGCAATGGGCAAAACTCCCTTTGACTTCCCTACAGCCAAAGCCTTCGCTTGACGAACGGCTTTCGAAGCCTCTAATTTGACGGCTCCTCGCTGAGCAGAAATGCAGCCCACGCGTAGCCTGAACACCAAGCGACAGTGCTAGTGTGTTTAATAGACCTGTTCTTCCCAGCATGGATGTCTCCAGCCGCTTTTGTACCGAGGCTGGTCCTGCCGCCTCTCACAGGTCGGCTCCCCCCTCGCCGCAGTGTCCGCGGCCATCCCGCACCGGCGGCTGCAGAAATCCTCTCCTCCGCCCCAGCACCAAGCAGATCTGCTCTTTGGGCCTTCGTTAGCCGTGCATTTACACGCTGAGCTCTCAATAACGCGTCAACTTTTTAATTAGTGCCAGCTTTTGGCATGTATGAAATATTACTAATGCTCTTTAGTTATTTTTGTAGGGGAGGAAAGTAGGGAAGAAATTAAAAAAGGAAGAAAAGGGTTGGTGAGGCGGGTCTAAAGGCACATGGAGAAACAGGTTTCTTCTCACTGCTAAAAATCAATCTGGTTCAGTTTCTCTGCAATTGTGCCGGCTCTTCAGATTTTCAAGTACGTACTCTTGAAGCACTGATGCGGTGGAGCGAAGGTTTTAAGAGCTTGAATCGCAACAGCACTGTGAGTGAAATGCTCAATTATTTTTTTTTTATTGGAAATATTAAAAGTGACAGTTTCAAAATTGATTCCACTGCTTTGATTGATTGCTCAGAATATTTAGCTCAAAATGATTATGGCAAGATTTTTCTGCTGAGGCTCGTGGCTGGGGTGGGAATGGATTTGGGGGGTGGGGGGGAGGAGTTCTCAAAAAAGAAATTATTCTGTAAAGGAGACTGTTTATACCCAGAATCGGTGATGAGTAATCTCTCCATATTCAGCTTGATCTCAATAATTAAGCATCCTGTGAGTTCCTGTTTGAGGACGAAGGACTAGAGGCCAGGGAGACAGTGTTATCACGGCCCCACCGGTTTCTATCATCTGGAGGTTACTGGTGCCCAGTGGCAGCGGAGGAGCCCTCTGCGTGCTGCTCTGGAGCTTTGTAGCACCCTGCTGATGGCCTGTCTGTACGGTATGTCCCTGCTGGGGAACCAGTACTAGAGACCACATCTGGGGTACTGTGTCCGGTTCTGGGCTCCCCAGTTCAAGGAGGATGAGGAACTCCTAGAAAGAGTCCAGAGGAGAGCAACAAGGATGATGAGGGGACTGGAGCATCTCCCCTACGAGGAAAGGCTGAGGGAGCTGGGCTTGTTCAGCCTGGAGAAGAGAAGGCTGAGAGGGGACCTCATCAACACGTACAAATATCTCAAGGGTGGGTGTCACGAGGACGGAGCCAGACTCTTCTCAGTGGTGCCCAGCGCCAGGACAAG